TGTTAGCTCTGAATGCTTTAATAAGTAGCCATTACATTTTGATTAGTGGACAATCCGGCACGGGCAAGACCCATACAGTGAAAAAAATATTTAAAACAATAAATAGAAACCGTAAAATGGCACTTTATGTACTACTGGAAAGGCTTGTTTACAACTTTACAATACGGCGCATTTGACGCACGTAATGTTCATAGGTATTGAACTATGATTAATCCATTACTCATTTATTTATATATACCATCTTCTGTATTAAACAATCTCTAAAATTAATTTACTATAACAAGGTGTCTAGCCAATTTCCACTTTTTTTAAACAAACTAGTCGTTGATTATTTAAGTCTGAAAAGGACCCTTTTTCTCGAAACAGCTTAATTATTGCACGTGTGTGTTCAAGGAGTGCAATGGACATATCCCGGTATGACCCATCAGACAATGACCCATCAGACAAAAAACTTTAATAAGCTTTTATGAGATGCAACATTTCTTTATTCAAACAGTCATCCTCAGCAAGGTGATTGCGCTGTTTTAATACTTTGGTTAAAATAAATGTTTTTTTTTTATGAAAACGCATAGGATTATGAGATGTGCTTCAATCCAGGGTTTCTATTCTATATATGAATTGTTGATGTACAACTTTCTTGTGCAAATATTATGGTCACCACTTAAATGAATATTATTCCGGAGTTTTTAATATGTGAAAAGTCCATAATAAATGTTACATTGTTATGGATATTAAGTGCATCAATTGAACAGCACGATTGGTACTTGCAGCATCCAAGAAAACCTAGTATATTTTAAATATCATATGTAAACAGTTTGGAAATGACCCTCCATGTTGTAAGGTAATGATCGAGAACATTTGCACCCTTTGACGGAAAAAAAAGCAAATGGGAAGCGAAAACCATCATATGATAAAAAGATGAATTGTAAAAAATGTGTTGCTAAGCGCGATTTCACTTTTTGAATATTTAATTTATATAAGTCTTCATCAAAATTATCCATGTCCACAGGCCCATCAACAGTATTCTTACACAAATACAAAATCATTTTAAGCTTTTCCTGTATAGCCATTTTATCTAAAGTGATACCCCATCTCATGTCAATATTTAGTCGTTTTGCTTCATTATACACCCTTTGGGCTTTGGTAAAAGCAATTTTTATATCTTTGTAAGAGATTGATTGACGGTAGAAAGAGCATACTACTGCTACATAAAGAAGCATATGCCTGTGGACTGCGGTTCCACAAAGTTAGGCACACCTGCACAATGCCTACATCTTGGTTTTTTATTTGCTGAGTTACAAATATTACTTTGGGCGAACAATATTTTAACATAAGGTCATTGCATTCATGAAAAAGAGACTTTAGAAAATCTATCAGGCCCTTCTGGTACTTATCTTGTGTATCACTGCAAGACTTATTTCAACTTGAACATTTAATAGTCTGTTTTAGCACAATGAGCCCAATGATGAGACTGGTGTAAGTGGTAAAAAAACATTTGCATTCTTTTGTTGAAAATATGTGCTCAAAATTAGTGTAATCTCAACCATTGTTGTAATTTTGTAAGTTTTTTTATCAACAAACTTGAGCTTGTTTCACTGTAATGAATACTATAGTGGCATCTTCAGTGGTTTTCACACAAATATTGTCAAGTCCTATCTCATTTAGTGTTACTTGTGTTTTCCCGAGTATATTTCTACACTTCTGTCACTTAAGATTTGTATTGGCTTTATTTGTTTCTGGTTATTTACGATGTATACAGAATAGCAAATGTATTAGATTAATCCATATCCCTCATTTATTTTTACAGAACCATATTTTGAACCTATTTCTGTAAGTTCAGACATTGAACATGCTTGTGGACAAAGAAAGTTCTGTCTCAGACCTCTGAATTTGGTAGTACCATTTTGATGCACAACACTATTATTATTTAAAAAATTGGGGAACAAGCCTTCCAATTGTCCTCTTGTGTAGAAGGGTATAAGGATGTTCATTCTTATACAAAATGTATATCATCTCAGAATTAATGCTAACTGTCCCAGGTACTTGAATATATTTCCTCTGTAGCCTGTGAAATAGTTGTTTTTATGTAGATTTTATTTTGAAAATACAAAAGAAAATAACAATACCTTCTGCGGACGATAAATAATCGATATAACTTCAATCACATGATCATCAATAAATTGTCATTCTATATTGATACATTGCCAATAGATATACCCTACATACATACCTACGTTGCTGCCATCCAATCTTTATTTAGATGATATAATAATGTAATATCAGTTAATCTCCGTTTTGGCTGTAAACCCTAGTTTTAATACATAGCCAACATGATCTATCATTTATGCATTTAGAACAATTGTATCTGGGATTTTTTGTCTATATGCTATTGGAAAGAAACTTATAATATTGAGCATGATTTTTTTTCATTTGAAAACTGTCATTGCTGAATAAACGTACACATTTACATTTATAGTTTGATATGAAAATTATGCTATAGATTAACTTTCTTACTGTTTATATAACGTCTGCCTTGTTTGAAAAGATATCTTTATTTTGAATAGTTTTCGTTTTGTGTTGAGACACAATATTTTTCTATAATTGATGATAATTGATGTGTAAGACTTCTGCCTTTTATGTAATTATAAATGTTCCTCTCCTTTACAATTATAAAAACCTATATATAGGACTATCACATGTTTTTGTTTCATTACAATCATTACGATTGATCGGCTTAAACTTGTGTCATGTTTTACATCCTATATCTGGAGTGCATGTGTGCGTTTTCTTTCAGTATATTATAGTCTATTATATCAACAATATTGAACTAAAGTGTGTTTCTTTTCAGGAGTAACCGTTTGTATTTAGCTTACCAATACTGATAAAATTGTGTTTTATTTAAAGAAGCAACGCATTTGCCTTTTTCGAACATTTATGCTGTCATGTGTCATTGAAAATAGCCACATATTAAATAAGATTGACAACTGAAATGCTACATTTGGACTTGTTGCATGATAGGTTATTTCTAATCAATTTAAGTATAGCTGCAACCATCTTTTGACGTCACTGCTTTAGTGAATACAAATATTTTGTGTCCATTCAATTTACATAATTGCAAATGTCATGCCATTACAAATTATTTTCATAGGATTGATAATCATTTGTTTTTCAATCGAAGCATCTGACAGATCCAAAAGACACTTGATGCTTTTCTACTTAGGTTATGTTTTTGTATGTATTGCCAAACATCAATTAGTTATTTATACATAAAAGTTAAATTAGAATGAAATAATATTATCACAATTAAGATTACATTATGTATTTTATTATTGGTGCAGCTTTTTTCATCGGGAAAATTTTATGTTTTATTTTGTATAAAAGAGTGTGTTATGTTTAATGTTATAACCAATCATTAACAATAATAATACAAGCATCTGAACGACATACCATGCTATATATGTACAGAAGGCCGGAAGCGTGATCTATGTATATATAAGGAAAATCTAAATAACTGTCTTTGTACCATAATATTAAAACACAGACATCATATAACCGAAATTTACTAAATAAACTCAAAAACATCGTGCAATATTACCTAACACAAATATACACATGTCACAACGTTATATACGTCAACATTCAGGATCGTACCTACCGATACGCCAGGGCATATAAATTCAAGCAAAATTCAAAAAATTGATAAAGTTAAAAATTCCAAAAATGGAATAAAAATCAAGGGGCATAGTGTAGGTCCCTTGAAATTTGAGCTTACTCGTATCGATCAAAACTGACTAGATCGATCCTGTGAAGTAATGTACAAAGAGATGGAAATAAACGTATCTATAGATTTCAAGTAGCCTATTAATACCGTAAATACGGTACTCGGCAGTTCTACTTTGTCAACGGGGAGCAACTCTAGCGAAGATGGTTTTTATCGTTGTTTCTATTCGGAATCCGAATGAATGTTTAGCGCTACAAGTTTTCAAGGCGGGAATTTTAAAATGTCTTTAAAAGATGAAGATTTTATGCCGCCCTATCCTGATCCTTTTGTTGGAGAAAGCTTCAAAGAAGTTAACAAGAAGCTCGTTCTTTTGACACAACCATGGAATGATGAACAGGCTTTTAAATTCCCAACCACCTAGAATTATATAAATAATCAAAAAGTAGCTTTATCCAAATTATCGCGTAAAAATATTCTTTTGAGATTTGCGTGGCTTAACATAAGTGATAGTGCATGAATTTTTTTTCTTCATTATAATCTTTTTTTTTTTTTTTTTTTTTTTTTTTGCATAAGTAGAATCTAGATCTAAATATGATAATTTTAATTTTCAATGACATTCTTGTCTTTTTTTATAGTTTTATAATTCGGTAAAAAATTTTACACTCAATAATTTTTTAACATTCAGGTATGCTAGTGGAAGATTTAGGACGCCACAACCGGCTTGGTTTACGTCTTATAGCTGGCTGAGGTATTCTGTAAAGCTGGATGGGGTCTTTTGTGCCCCGTGTTTTCTATTTTCTGGTTCTGATCCCCGCAGCAAGGCACTGACAACAACTGTAGTTACAGACTGGAGTAACATAAAAAAGATTTTAGATAAGCACGGGAAATCTGATCTTCATATCTCTAGTTCAATTGCTGCAGAAAACTTTGTAGCGATACAGAATCGACAACAAAAGGATATTGAGTGCAGTATATCCTCAGCATATAATGCTTTGGTTGAGAAAAACCGAAAAATTATGACATTGATTGTGGATACCCTTATGCTTTGTGGAAAGCAAAATATTCCAATCCGTGGTCACCGCGAAGATGCTGATTCTGACAGAAAGGGGAACTTACTTTCAAGCACTACTAGAATTTCAGGCTAAAAATAATCCAGTTCTGAAAGATCATCTGGAAAATGGAGACCCAAGGACGCGCTACACTTCTCCAAAGATTCAGAACGAGATAATGTGGCAAACTTATTTCTGATGAAATCGTCACCGAATGTAATCAGTCTCAAATGTTCAGCCTGATAGCAGACGAGGCAACAGACTGCGCTGCAATGGCACAAATGGCTCTTTGTGTGCGATACCTGAAGGATAGTGAGATAAGGGAAGAATTCCTTGGTTTGTGTGCGATACCTGAAGGACAGTGAGATAAGGGAAGAATACCTTGGTTTCTCCGAGTTCAAGAGTACCACGGGGGAGGCATTGGCTAACGCATTTCTTGAAAACCTCAGATGTTTAGGTAATGATTGAGAAATTTGACACAATAAACTGCATAAATAACATTATATCTTTATTTACTACAGTATAGTATCTAAAATAAATTTCTGAGATCCATGTTTTAACACAATATAAAACTGAAATGTAAAAATATACTGGAACATTTTAATTGCCGCAACCATTTTGATTTACAAATTAATAAAAGTTTGGCATCTTTACAATGCAGATACAAAATTGTCGGGGGGGTGGGGTGGGATGTTGGGATCCTTTCTGTCAACTCGATTTAACAAAACTCTTTTGTACATTTTATACATTTATAGTATATTATTGTATGCAATATAAAACAAAGATATTAAAAGAACAATTTTTAATAGCTTATGGAAAATCTTTTTAAAAATGCTGTTGTATGTCTAAATGAATAATAATAATAAAAATGATGATAATAATAATTATAATAATAATGATGATGATGCTGAATATCGAGGCTGAAATAAGGATTGAATGTTGATAATAATAATTAAGGTTATTATAATGATTTGATTACTTCTTTATTCATACAGGAGTACAGATGGACTATATAAGGGGCCAGGGATACGACGGGGCCTCAAAAATGTCCGGGTTATATAGAGGTGTCCAAGCCAGGATCCGCCAACAATATCCTGAGGCAGTTTATACCCATTGCAAGGCCCATTGTTTAAACTTAGCAATTATTCACGCATCCAAATGCACGTATGTTAGAAATATGATGGCCACGGTGCAGACAGTAGCATTTGCTTTTAACATGTCCGCAAAACGTTTGCTAAAATTTCAAGAAACTCTCGGATGTGACCCCACCAGCCGTGAAGAAATGGAAGAGCGACAGAAGCTTCAGTCGTCATGTGAGACACGTTGGGCAGCTAGGGCCGATGCTTTTCACACGTTTTTATGCTTATACAGGTATCACTGTGTTTGTTACATTCAATATAAACATAAATTATGAATTCTTTGCCGAGATGCTTTAATGACAAATGCCTTTCATTAAACACTTATCTATTGAAATAAAACATGTGTGTATTTAAATGATGAAATATTTAGGCATTGAATTATTTTATATATATATGTGTGTGTTTGAAAGAGATTCAATTTTGTTTTAGAACTGTAGTAACATCACTGGAAGACCTGGGTGCGAATGGCGACACGAAGGCAGCTGCAAATAGTCTATCTGTGCTACAGTTTGATTTTATAATCACCCTTGTAACAGCGGAGCATGTTCTTGCTGCAGTTGTTGAACTATCAACCATGCTACAGCAGAAAGCCTGCCACCTCTTAAGAGCTGCCACAGAAACTAGAGTGATAATTGCTACATTGAAGGCAAGTTGGTCATTTTATTCATATTCTTAATGCTACAAGAAACTTAAGTGATACGATCTATAAATAGAAATGTTTTCTTTCTTTATACTGTATGAGATCTACATAGCTCACATGTACACCTATGTTCACAAATACAGCAAGAACTTATGAAGTCAAGTGGTTTTTATTAGAACGGATTATATTTCTTATGATAAAATAGACTCATTTATATGTGAAGGTGTCGATACAGTCATGAGGATTGATTTTTTATGTCCCACTTTGTATTACATAAAGGATATACCGGTATATGTTTGTTTTGCACAAAACTGAGTGAACACCAGATGCAGTATTTTCACGAGTCGCGTAGCCACGAGTGAAAATAGAATACGCTGGTGTTCACGAATGAAATATATTTCAATCTTATATTTAAAACAAATAATCATACTTTTGTAATATAGTTCTGTTTAATTTCTCTAAGTTTATTAAATTTTTAACATGATGTATGATGACATCAACTTTCTTTTCCTTTATATAGGCAAAATGTATGTATGACGGCATTTTAAGCCAGTTATTTCATTTACTCATAGATAATCTTTTCATCTGCATTCAGATCTAGTCCGGCAACAGTGAAAATTATAGTTGTGGTTTATCAGAACATAATCATCTGATATATTACAGTAAAACTCTGGACAGCATGAAATAAATCTTAATCAAACGTAATTTACTTTAACGTTTTTAAAACTTTTAATTACCTACAGCAAAGACTTGTTACTTGTAAAGAGAATATTTAAGGTTAGGTAGTTTGCACTGAGCCTCAACAGAACGATCAATATTCTATAAACGCTCTAGATAGATATCTTTCTTATAGACATGTGATATTTTCGAATTATCTTACAGAATGAAAGGGGCGACACTGTGATTCTTTTACAAGAAAGCTGTGGATCTTGCTGCGATTGTAGGAGTCGATCCCTGCATTCCAAGAAACGTCGGACGTCAGAGAAATCGCCCAAATGGCCCAAGTGATACATCATCGCAATTCTGGAAAATTAATATGTATTACCCTTTTTATCGTCCATCTGTTAACAGAGCTGGAGAATCGCCTTTTACAAGCTATATTAGATACAACGCACAGATGCTAATCCCAAGTCAGGTCAGTAAATGCTTTTATATTGACATTTTTTTATATGTATAATAGATCAATAAACATTGATGTATAGAGGATTTTTTGTTAGTTTTAAGTAAATACTAGTATGCTATGACACTGAGAAGTCAGAAAATTGCAATTTAGCACGGGTGAAAATTTTTAAACTTTTGTTGAATTACCTGAGTTATTTGTCAATGCGAGTAAACGTCATTCCGTCTTACTAAATATTTCAGCAAAGTAGTTTCGACAGGATTTTTGTCGGAGAGCATATCGAGATAAGTTCAGTTGCAATGCCTAAAATCTTCTCATCTTTGTCAGTAAATTTTATTGAAACATTCAAAAACATCTTATCAATGCGAATAAAAATAAGTCAACTTAGCGCAACTGTAGGCCCTGATAAGCTTCCATACCATTAAGAACAAAATGTTATGTTAATTTACAAAATTGATGGAATCATGAAAATTGACGCGTACACCAAAACAAGTTCGGCTACAGTGTGAATGATATACTGTTGGTGATGTGGATTTTAATTCACCAATAAAACCCAGTATTTCTCCAGTTAGCATGTTAATAAAAAAATATTGTATGAAATTGGGTATTTTATATGTTTCGTTGTGTGAACAGTACTGAGTGATACTGAGAGAAATTGTATGTCGACATATATTTTGACAAATACTTTATCACATTAAATTGTAGCTTTCATGATAATTTGTAAACATGTTTAAATCAACAGCAACTTTATTCTTGATAACTATGACATGTACTGCAGATTTGGAAATGCTCATTGAATCCATTACTTCTACCTATATAACGAGGAATTCTTTCTTTAACATTATTTCATTTAAAGAATTGATTCTTTGCTTAAATTGTAATATTGAAATTATCGATTATTTTATAGGTTTCAAAGTCTGGTCTATAGGTTCAAAGTTCACAGTGCCGAGAACTATACAGGGGTCTACAGACATGCTTGGATGTTGATGAAGATACATTCCTCCGTGAATGTGTCTTGTGGAGGACGTGGTGGACTGATCCAACTCTAGCTGCCCAATGAGAAACGACTTCAGAAAACTTAACGGATTCATTAAAAGTTACAAGTGAAGTATTGTATCCAAATATCAGGAAATGCTTGGCACTTCTCATGGTAGTGCCGGTCTCTACCGCTACTGCCGAGAGATCGTTCTCTACAATGCGTAGAGTTAAATCATACCTCCGGTCAACCATGACAACTGAGAGGCTGTCCGGCTTGGGACTTCTGAACATTTACCAGGAAAAGAAGCTTGATGCTGAACGTATTGTCGATATGTTTGCGGCTAAAAAAGAAAGAAGGCTGGCTTTGATATTTAAAGTGTAGATTATAATAGAGATGTAAATGAATAAATAAATTAATAAAAACATAAAAAATATAATAAAAAAATGATAAATACTAGGATATAGTAAATAGTAATGAAGAAGGAATAAAATTTAATCGTTTGTTGTCATACGTTTAATACTTTTGAGTTTTGTATATTGGTTATTTTAGTCAGGAAAATATTTCATTGAAAGACATTTGAGAAGCTATTATATGGCATTTCAGCCTTTTAAAATGATACCTAATCAATTTTTTTTCGCGGGGCCTCCGGTCCCCTGAACCCCTGACCAGGCCCCAGACTTTTATGGGCGTATTCTTCAAATACCTCCAGGTACGCCCCTGACATTAATATATAAGCTATAGGAACGTACAATGAAAGGCAGAAAAATGTCTGACATTTTAACTAAAGGGTATTGATCTCAAATCAAAAGCATCTGGTCTTTAAGGTTCAACAATTTATACTGGGCCATGTAACATGTCAAAATCTGATAATGTGAAAATTACAGCTTACCATTAATTAGAAGATCTATTTTCGTTCAATCTATATTACAAGGAACTTACCATATTTAGAAGAAAACACTTATTTATGGTTTAATAAAACATGATGTTGTGACGTTATTTTTTTCTGTAAAAGCATAATCATCTTAAAAGATTAATTCATGAAACTCATATGGAATGCTTACACTGCTTTATTGTATTAATAGTTTGTCTTTGTGTCCATTTGTATCATGGAAAGAATATTCAAACAAATGTTTATAATAATAAATCTTCCTGTGCAGAATTCCGACATAAGAGTGCACTTGATCGCCCCATGACTGCCTTCAGCCACTTACAACAAACCCATCAATTATTAAGTGAAGAAAGTATATACTGCAATAATTGGCTTTTTGTGATGTTTAATATCTGTAAAACATGTCGGAACATGTCTAGACAATGTCACTCTTACGTTCAGTACAGCATTTCAAAGGAAATGTGCAATAAGATCGGTGATGATCCGTGATGGACAAATGGTGTAAGTTTCCTGGCTTGATGTCATGGTGTCTTTAAGCTTTACTACCGATAATACATATAAGTTATTAATGACATGCTAAAGATAGTAAAACAGTTAGTTACAAATATCTGTATTGTTGTAGTCAGCGTTGTGTGTCTTTTCCTCACGTTTTTCATTTTGATAGTATCTCTTGTACTTTAAATTCAAAAGGATCTTTTCAACATCTATCGATATTCAAATAAGTATAGGTTAGAGTGCATATTGGGTGTTCTTCGTAAATAAGAAAGCTAAAAAGGAGCGGAGCTTGCGAAGCGACTGTAGCTTTCTTATTTACGAAGAACATCCAATATGCACTCTAACAGGCTTAGTGCTCCGCCCATTTTTTTCCGCCCAACACACTGCGTGACGTCACACGATAGCCTAAATGTGTATAACCATATTTGGAAGAGGTAGCGGTACACATTTTCGGGTCACGTGTTTTGCATAGCTTATTCCCGCATTCTGTCTAGGTAAATCAGACAATATCACGGTGCATATCCATATCGGTACCCTCTTTGCAACATATTCTCAAACGGTACCCTCTTTGAACATACACAGGTCATTCTCTGCTAAAAACAAATCAGCGATGGATAACAATGCAGTAAAAATTCATTGTAATAAGAAAAGGAGGTATGACCACGGAACACTAGAATGTTTTATTTATGTGCTGATTTGTCATGTGCCCGATTTTCAAGTACTGCAACTTCACAATAAGCATACATATTTATTTTGTTCATTTACATATCATCTTTGGACAAATGGCAGTATATTGTCAAAAATAAATGTAAAATTAATAAAAAACACACTACTTTCGGTTTTGCAGCGGCACGGGCTGTAATATTTACATGAAAAGTAAGAAATATTACATACATACTTTGTTGGAATAAGTGAACTTTTTATTTGGAAATTATAAAATGATACTGGTTCCGTAAGTAATAAAACATTTTTACTGTTATTTTGCCTGTTTTCATTTCAATGAACCTCTTTTTTTAATTCTATGCCGTAGTGACGATATACATGTGCGTGTACGGAAAAACATGATGCATAAATATTGATTAGTATGAGTAAACTTCAAGATCTCTGCACATGCGTATATTTCACTTAAGCGCTCTTCGAAACTTAGCTCCGCCCACTTGCGTTTTATAATATAAAACGTCCAGTTTATATAAAATCTGTTCTATTAAGATTTGAAACCTGAAAATTTGAAAAATCCTCGTCGGTGATTGGCTTAAAAAAATTGGCGAACACTAATTTAGAATATATTTCATTTGATAATTCAAAACAGACCTGCATATTATTTGTAGAATATACTGGGAAAAAACATGGCTTTGAATATCCCATGAAAATTGATAAAATAATTATATCAAAGTTATTTGTTATAATTTTTAATACTAGCATTTTAGTAAAATTTATGTTATGATGTAACTTACCAGACACGTCATGTTTGTTCATTGTCATAAACAACTGGCGCACAGACAAAATGAAAAATTATAAGCTCTTATATATGTTTTGATTTCTTTGAGCGCATGTTTAAGAATAACAAAAAAACAACAATAATTTTTTGTTTATCACTGACTTTTGTATTTTGCGCAAACAAAATTTCCTTTAGGACATCAGAGAAAGTTTATTGTCAATGACAAGTTGAAACGAAAATTTATCTACTTTGACGTGATTTAATTTTCAATTCGACAATACTGGCCTTTCACAATAGATTCCGTTATTATTCCCATCAAGAAATATATACACAGTTGCTTGCGGCATTCACATGAAGGATATTCAGCATTGTACCGTAAGTTAAAGTATTAGTAGGATATAAATATGGTTAATTGTCTTTTTATATCTCTCATGTCAAGAACTTATTAGCTAACACATATACGATACTAAGTTTGTATGAAACATATTGGAACATAATGCAATGTTCAATTTTAATTTTAACCATTTTTTTAAAGTAATCTGCTTAAAGGCACGGGAGAACGCCCCAGTTTGAACAGGAAAAAAAGGCAAATTCACATTTCAAATTTCCCTGCCTTTATTTGTTTAACCAAATATTCCCCGTTTTTAAAGTTGGGGGTAAAAAGGGTTTTTAATAAAATTTTATATTTATTTGGAAAGACATTATTTTGGCTTTGTATTTTTAAAATTAAAAAGATTTAGCGGTTTAAATTAGTAATGTATTGGAATGCTTGATATTTTTTTATGCACATGAATAAAATCTATGATTTGAAACAATATTTTTCAAGCAAGTCACCATAAAAGCAAGAATTTGAATTCAAGTACTTGTAATGTTTATACTGCGTCCATATGCATTTTTATAATTATCTTGAATTATGCAAAATCTTACCATATTTTGTTCCATGGTTTCAACATTCTTTCTTTGCCTTTTAAATATACTTAAAAGTAGCGACTTCTTTCAAAACGTCCATATCAAAACAACCTTAAGACAATATGAGCCGCGTCACAACAAAACCAACATAGTGCGTTTGCGACCAGCATGGATCCAGACCAACCTGCGCATCCGCGCTGTCTGATCAGGATCCATGCTGTTTGCTATCAGTTTCTCTGCTTGTTATATGGTTGGTAAGTGAACAGCATGGATCCTGATCAGACTGCGCAGGCTGGCTGGATCCATGCTGATCGCAAACGCACTATGTTGGTTTTGTCGTGACGCGGCTCATATGACGAAATATACTAGGTGATTAAAACATGATTTTTGGTTTAATCTGACTAAAGGTTACATATTCAGGACAATCCTTTTTCGTTGACATTTAATATTACTTTATCCTCTTGATGTCTTTAATGCTTGAATTAGACACATTAGATATACTTATTTACGTCTTAGCCTTGGTGATTTTTCCGTTAGGCACAAATTGACAATTTCCTTATTATTGCTGCCTAATAGCGTTTAAGATTTTTTTTCAAATATCAATAGTCTAAGAGTCATTAGATGAATGACTTTTGAATTAAATCAATAGAAAAATAAAACTCAGGTTGTATATATACATTGTTATAAATGTGTTTTGTAAAATGAGTTGACATTTATTTGTTATCAGTATACATATTTGTTAGAATACCCTTATTCATGATCAGATCATCTTTGTACTCATTTATCATTTTATACTTTGACTTTTAAATGATATTATTGATCATATCCATTTTAATTCATTATTAATGTATCAATATATCTTATAAATATCAAAACTGATTTTGTATGAATTGGTTGAATAGGAAACAAATCTGTCTTTTGGCAAAACATAAATTTATACAGGTATTGACCGATCATTGATGCTCCTTGGTATTGGCAAAAACATATATCTTGCTTTTTAAATTAATGCCTCCGGGGGATCACTTTGTTTTCAGGTTTTTATACTTCACAACAGCAGGTGTCAAGTGCTGTGTGGCAGCTGTAAAAAGCTGCCCCGTACTTCACTTCAGTATTGTAATATTTTTCTGGACCTTGGGGATCATTGATGCCAACATTTTTCACTGTTGAGAATTGAGTACCGCTCAAGCTGGTGCTAGGGAGCGTAAGGGATGTTGCACGTATTCATTAATTGTCATGTACATACTCAATCAAACCGAGTCTGCAATTCTTGTAATTTTATTGTGATTTATGCTTCGAGGGATCACTTTCTTTCCGGATTTTCAAATAATCTCAACTTACGTAATATTGTAATTGGAGCTCCAAGTTTTAATTTTCTATTTACATCTTAAAATGAAATGTCTGTACCTGACCGTTTTATAGTTGTGTTTATTTGTCTGGAATATATATAATGAATGCAGCGCCTACTGGAGATTGCTATTTCTATCTCAAAGAAATAATATGTACACTGGATAATACTCTGTCTTAGCATTTGTATTACTTAACCAAACAAAATAATCTACTTAACCTGTTTATTAGAACATTCATCGTGGTTTGCGTTGTATACAATTTATGCTTCCAATATTCTTGTAACGTTCATATGCATGTTATTAG